TAAAAAAATAGTTGACTTTCAGAAGAACTATGTTTTTGTAGGGCATAATTCCATGTACTAGAAAACACAGTTTGATTAAAGTTTAGCTTGTTGATTTTTATTCCTTTCACATCAAGTAAAATTAGTAATATTTATACTAATTATAAGAAATGAAGATTAAATATCTATTAGTATGAGAATGAAAATAATTATTTCTCAACCGCCCTTTAAGGGGAATGGATCCTGGTAACAGGTCTTTTCTTTGTGTGGTGAGGAAAGTGGGGTATTGGGCATGGTAATCAGTGTCGGCATTCAAAATTGAGAACTGGAGTAGAGGCACACTGCTCGGCATAACTCGGGGAGGGAGATTTAGAAGCCTGTTGGGAAGGTCCAGAAGCTGCGAAGAAACTAAGCAGTGAAGCTGAAGAAGATGTAGGGGAACAGGGGAGAAGGAGAATTCCTGGTTAGTGGAGTAGCCCAGGAGAGTTAGGATTATATAGAGACTTGATGAGTGTACTCCATCCACCGATATGGTCTTCCATAAATTCTACATCACTTGTTAATGTTTTTGGTGTAAGTAGGTTATCTGGAGGTGAATGCAAAGGGGTTCAGTGTTCTACTTAGTGGTGAGCACTGGGCTATGAGTTAACTTACTAGGAATCTGGGTTGCATTAGGCATAAGGTTTGATGGGGGAAAAGTTTGTAGGCCAAAAAAGTACTGATAATGTTATAGTTGGTCTGATTTTGAGCTAAAATTGGTGGGTAAAACTTTAAGGATACTTGTATAGCCTCAAATTATCTACCAAAATATTTGTTCATTATTTTAGTGATTTTAACATAGTTCTACATATTCTTTGATATTCTCCCTCTGGGAGGTGGAACTTAATTCTTCTCCCTTTGAGTGTGGGCTGGACTTAATGACTTGCTTCTAACAGAGTCTGGAAAGGAAAGAATACTAACTTTATGGCAGGGAGATTTGGCAGACACCACACTACCGTAATCAAGCTATCAAGGTTAACATCACTAGTCCCGAGTCATGTTGATATCACATACCCACCAGTGTGATGCACTGAGAATGGCTTACCTCTGTGGTATTCTGTTCCCAAATTTATGAGCTTTGTCTAATCATGAGAAGACATCAGAAAAACCCAAATTGAGGGACAGTCTACAAAATACCTGACTTGAAGATACCTGAAATATTTTCGAAAATGTTGAAATCATAAAAGCAAGGAAAGATTGAGAAACTTTCCCAGATTGGAGGAGACTGAAGAGACAAGCTGCTCTGAAGTATCTTGGAACAAAAAAGAACATTTGATAGTTGAGCAAAGTCTGTAGCTTTTGGTTTTATAACAGTGTTAACATCTTAGTTTCAATAAACTTACCTTGGTTATAGAAGATGTTATTTTTAGGGGAAGCTAAGTGAAAAGTATATGGGAACTCTGAGCTGTCTTTACAACTGTTCTGTAAATCTGAATTATTTAAAAAATAAAAAAACTTAAACCTATTCAGAGGATTTTTTTTCTAAGGAAAAGACTAAAATGATGACTTTGAAAACAGGAAAGGGTTATTATTAACTCTTTGACTTAAACCTCCAAGTAAATATTTATTTTCCAACATCACTACACCATAATAATTGTTTTTACAGAAAGAAAGACAGCTTGGTGCTTGAGAAAATATGGTGGTTAAGAAAGATGGGAGAAATCTGGAAAACTTTCATATATGTGATGAACAGAATTGGCCAATTGCAAAGTGAAGTTGTTATTCAGGAATTATAAAGGGATATTTATTCATCCATTCAATAACATATGTTTACCACCTAAAATGTGTCAAGTACTGTGTTAGAGTTAAAATATGATCATGACAGATTAGGTCCCTGGCCTTCTGAAGCTTACATCTTAGTGACACCAAATCTTTTACATTACCCTTTGGAAATGTAAACCTCTAGATAAACAACGATTATCTGTATGTCTATCTAAGTAAAAATAAGCATATAAATGAATTAAGCACATTTTAATAGACTTAATCAAAATAAAGTATGTAAACACTTGGGAAATGTAAATATGTCTTTCTTGTCTTTTTGACGTAAAATGTAATAGGATTTTTAAAATGTAAGTTTTGGAACTCATGAGAAAGGGACAGAAATGGATTAATTCCAGTTAGTAAAATGGAAAAATTTCTTCACTGGAGAATTTTTGGGGTTTAAATTCTTAGTAAGTTAAACTCCTAGAGTTGCAGCATGCAGTTAAGTTTTAAAAGCTTAGCAGGTGACTCCTTCTGTTTCTTGTACCTCAGTAAGCAGAGGACACAGGTGGAAACAACTTGGAACATGAAGAGATGTACAGAATCACACTGGAAGGATCTTAGCAGCTACTGTTTGAAGGTTGCAGAGTCTTCCAAGGTAGATTTTGAATTTGGCTTTGGAAGTGAATGGCTCTTATATTTGGGACAAGCCCATCTTGTTTGAAGTTGCTTATGGCCTTAAGTGATGTCACCAGGTTTGGGTGAGCCTTCACTGCATACTCATTTGGAGTGGCTTCTGCCCAGGAGTTTGAATCCAGAATGGGAGGCTGACTATTTACAGTTTGATGAAACTTATCAACTGCCTGAGGAAGTATTCCTCATAATCTCCTCTCTGTGGAAAAACCCAGGCTGGTTTTTAGTTCAATGAAAAAATATTGACTGAATCCATGAACCTTGAAAAAATTAGTATTTTGTTTGTTTAAAAAACAGCAGCATGCTTTCTACAGTAACTTAGTTCTAGACTAGCACTAGATTAAGTTTTAGAGAAACTGCAAATATATATTTGATATGAAAAATATACTTGGCAATAAAATGTGTATGACATAACTGGAAAAAAATATATTGAAAAGATAACCAGTTAAGTTTAGCTCATTAAAGAAAAACAGGTGACGAGGATAGGTTGAATGATGATGTTGAGGAATAAGATAGTTCAAGTATTGTAAAATGAATTGATGAAAAGTATAGCAACAATTCATATCTTTTTAAAAAATATTTCTCCCTCCTTCCCTCTCCCTCTTCCTCTCCCTCTCTGTCACAGAAACACACACACACATATTAGGTGGAGTTAGACTGAGGAAGCATGGAAAAAATGAAGATGCCAGCAGTCATTTTCAAGTTTCTAGGATAATTTTGTTCAGGAAAAATTTATAAACACATCCCACCAGCCAGAACTGAATAGATTATACATACTTAAGTAAATATTACAAATTCCACTTAGGCTACAGTAAAGAACAAATAATAAACATCAAAATCATTTGATAGCTACCTGAAAAGCATTATGATTTTTAATACTTTATCAAGTGTTAACAATTTAGTAATCGTAATAGTTGTCTTTTATTGTATATTTTAATGCTTTACAAGTATAAAATTATTTAGTCTTCATATCCACCCTATAAACTTGATATTATTGTTTCAACGTGGAGAGGCAGTGCCATTCAATGGTTAAGAGGCACACAGCCTGAGTCTATGTCCTGACCCTGTCACGAGCTTGGTGAATGACCTTGGGCAAGTTATTCAACTCCTTGTAGCCCTAACTTCCCTCTTAATAAAGTGGACTTAATGGGCTTCCCTAGTGGCGCAGTGGTTGAGAGTACACCTACCGATGCAGGGGATACGGGTTCGTGCCCCGGTCTGGCAAGATCCCACATGCTGTGGAGCAGCTAGGCCCATGAGCCATGGCCACTGAGCCTGCGCGTCCGGAGCCTGTGCTCCACAACGGGAGAGGCCACAACAGTGAAAGGCCCGCGTACTGCAAAAAAAACAAACAAACAAACAAAAAATGGACTTAATAATAACTCATGGAACCATCATAAAGATTAAATGTATATATTCAATATATGTAATGTGTTTATTTAATATATGTAAGAAGAAGAAGAATGCCCAGACATAGTAAACACTATAAAAGTGTTATATTATTTATACTCAAATCAAAATTATTTTTTATTTTGATGGTGTCTCTCTGCTTTTTTACTCAATTGTTTTTTATTAGAGCAGGAGCCATGCAGAGGGAGCTGTAATCTCATGGGTAGGGGGGACATTGTTATTTTATATATGAATATATATGCACTTTGGAGATATATGTTGGATATGTGAGTTAATGAAATTGGAATATGATTGATTATACTTTCATCAAAACAGTTTTAACATGTTTTGCTGTTTGCCTAAAAATAGTTTTTCTATTGAGCATCATAGAACTTGTTGGAAAAGACTTGTGGAAATTTGGCTTTTCTCAACTTGGATGGCCTCTACACATACACCTTTTTAAGCCTAAATGCTAAGTGTCGAATTTTTTTTTTAAACAAATGGAATGTCTTTTAGATGTTATGAAAGATTGCTCTTAATATAAATTTTTTTCCTTAAGTTTAATTTTGTTTTAACATAGAAACAAACCAAAACAAACACTTATGTGGTTAACTTTTGAAATCTGTATTTTCTTAAAGTTCCTTTTTTTCCAATTTATTAAAGAGAGAAAAATGTAGAAAAGAATGCTTTTCTTTGCTCTATGTGAAAGAATGGTTGAAGAGCAAGTTATCTGTTGTGATAAAATGTCATGTATGTCATAATGATGCAACAAGCATGTTTCTACCTTGATATTTTTTCAGAATTTGAAAAACTAGTGAACTGGTTTTAGGTATTATATCAAAATTGTTGAGCTGAGAATATAACTTTTAAATACTATTATTTCGGCAGGCAGTAAAATTTGTTTGTTTCCAAGAAAACTGTTAGCTGTCTAAGCTCTCTAAATGTGTTACAAAATTCCTAAAGATGGGAAAAAGTGAAACTAAGTGGAACTTGATTAGGTAGATCGGGAGGTTGTTTATATTTGAGCCCCAATGAAGTGATCTTATGACTTCAGTGAATGAGCAGGTTGTAATTCCTGTGTATATTTTGTACAATTCATAATCATCTTCCTCAGCCTTTTCTTAATAGATCCTAGTAATATCTTTCAGTTTTATATGTATTTTGGAATAATACTGATTTTCCCATGTCTTTCTTTCTAGGCATTGAAGAAACAAGAAGCTAAAGCAGAGGAGAATGAGGGAGTAGTGAAAAATAAGCTAAGACAAAGTGAAACTGAAAAGAGTAAAGTAAGATTTTGAAAATTAACATTTTTTTTAAAGTTTTGAATTTTATTTATCTTTTTATACAGCAGGTTCATATTACTTATCTATTTAATACATATTGGTGTATATATGTCAATCCCAATCTCCCAATTCATCCCACCACAACCACCACCCCTGCCATTATCCCCTTGGTGTCCATACATTTGTTCTCTACATCTGTGTCTCAGTTTCTGCCCTGCAAACCGGTTCATCTGTACCATTTTTCTACGTTCCACATATATGCATTAATATACGATATTTGTTTTTCTGACTTACTTCACTCTGTATGACAGTCTCTAGATCCATCCATGTCTCTACAAATGACCCAATTTCGTTCCTTTTTATGGATGAATAATATTCCATTGTATATATATACCACATCTTCTTTATCCATTCGTCTGTCGATGGGCATTTAGGTTGCTTCCATGACCTGGCAATCGTAAATAGTGCTGCAACGAACACTGTGGTGCATGTGTCTTTTTGAATTATAGTTTTCTCTGGGTATATGCCCAGGAGTGGGATTACTGGGTCATACGGTAATTCTATTTTTAGTTAATTTTAAGAAACCTCCATACTATTCTCTATAGTGGCTGTATCAATTTACATTCCTACCAACAGTGCAAGAGGGTCCCCTTTTCTCCACACCCTCTGCAGCATTTGTTGTTTGTGGATTTTCTATGATGCCCATTGTAACTGGTGTGGGGTGATACCTCATTGTAGTTTTGATTTGCATTTCTCTAATAATTAGTGATGTTGGGCAGCTTTTCATGTGCTTCTTGGCCATCTGTATGTCTTCTTTGGAGAAATGTCTATTTAGGTCTTCTGCCCATTTTTTGATTAGGTTGTTTGTTTTTTTAATATTGAGCTGCATGAGCTGTTTATATATTTTGGAGGTTAATCCTTTGTCCATTGCTTCATTTGCAAATATTTTCTCCCATTCTGAGGTTTGCCTTTTCATCTTGTTTGTAGTTTCCTTTGTTTTGCAAAAGCTTTTAAGTTTCATTAGGTCCCATTTGTTTATTTTTGTTTTTATTTCCATTACTCTAGGAAGTGGATCAAAAAAGATCTTGCTGTGACTTATGTCAGAGAGTGTTCTTCCTATGGTTTCCTCTAAGAGTTTTATAGTGTCCGGTCTTACATTTAGGTCTTTAATCCATTTTGAGTTTATTTTTGTCTGTGGTGCTAGGGAATGTTCTAATTTCATTTTTTTACATGCAGCTGTCCAGTTTTCCCAGCCCCACTTATTGAAGAAACTGTCTTTTCTCCATTGTATATCCTTTGTCATAGATTAGCTGACCATAGGTGTGTGGGTTTACCTCTGGGCTTTTTATCTTGTTCCATTGATCTATGTTTCTCTTTTTGTGCCAGTACCATATTGTCTTGATTACTGTAGCTTTGTAGTATAGTCTGAAGTCAAGGAGTCTGATTCCTCCAGCTCTGTTGTTTCACTCAAGACTGCTTTGGCTATTTGGGGTCTTTTGTGTCTCCACACAAATTTTAAGTTTTTTTGTTCTAGTTCCATAAAAAATTCCATTGGTAGTTTGATAGGGATTGCATTGAATCTGTAGATTGCTTTGGGTAGTATAGTCATTGTCACAATATTGATTCTTCCAATCCAAGAACATGGTATATCTCTCCATCTGTTTGTGTCATCTTTGATTTCTTTCATCAGTGTCTTATAGTTTTCTGAGTACAGGTCTTTTACCTCCTTTAGTAGGTTTATTCCTAGGTATTTTATTCTTTATGTTGCAATGGTGAATGGGATTGTTTCCTTAATTTCTCTTTCTGATCTTTCCTTATTAGTGTATAGGAATGCAAGAGATTTCTGTGCATTAATTTTGTATCCTGCAACTTTACCAAATTCATTGATTAGCTCTATTAGTTTTCTGGTAGCATCTTTAGGACTCTCTGTATAGTATCATCTGCAAACAGTGACAGTTTTACTTTTTCTTTTCCCATTTGGATTCCTTTTATTTCTTTTTCTTCTCTGATTGCTGTGGTGGCCAGCACTTCCAAAACTATATTAAATAATAGTGGTGAGAGTGGACATCGTTATCTTTTTCCTGATCTTCGAGGAAGTGCTTTCAGTTTTTCACCATTGAAGATGATGTTTGCTATGGGTTTGTCATATATGGCATTTATTATGTTGAGGTAGTTTCCCTCTGTGCCCACCTTCTGGAGAGTTTTTATCATAAATGGGTATTGAATTTTGTCAAAAGCTTTTTCTGAATCTATTGAGATGATCATATCGTTTTTATTCTTCAGTTTGTTGATATGGTGTATCACGTTGATTGATTTGTGTATATTGAAGAATCCTTGCATCCCTGGGATATATTCCACTTGATCATGGTGTATGATCTTTCAGTGTGTTTATTAGTATTTTGTTGAGGAGTTTTGCTTCGATGTTTATCAGTGATATTGGTCTGTAACTTTATTTTTTTGTAGTATCTTTTTCTGGTTTTGGTATCAGGGTGGTGGTGGCCTCATAGAATGAGTTTGGGAGCATTCCTTCCTCTGAAATTTTTTGGAAGAGTTTGAGAAGGATGGGTGTTAGCTCTTCTCTAAATGTTTGATGGAATTCACCTGTGAAACCATCTGGTCCTGCACTTTTGTTTGTTGGAAGATTTTTAATCACAGTTTCAATTTCATTACTTGTGATTGCTCTGTTCATATTTTCTGTTTCTTCCTGGTTCAGTCTTGAAAGGTTATACCTTTCTAGGAATTTGTCCATTTCTTCCAGGTTGTCCATTTTATTGGCATAGAGTTGCTTGGAGTAGTCTCTTATGATGCTTTGTATTTCTGCGGTGTTTGTTGTAACTTCTCCTTTTTCATGTCTCATTTTACTGATTTGAGTCCTATCCCTCTTTTTCTTAATGAGTATGGCTAAAGGTTTGTCAATTTTGTTTATCTTCTAAAAAAACCAGCTTTTAGTTTAATTGATCTTTGCTATTGTTTTCTTTGTTTCTAATTCATTTATTTCTGATCTGATCTTTATGATTTCTTTCCTTCTACTAACTTTGGGTTTTGTTTGTTCGTCTTTCTCTAGTTCCTTTAGGTGTAAGGTTAGATTGTTTATTTGAGATGTTTCTTGTGTCTTGAGGTAGGCTTGTATAGGTGTAAACTTCCCTCTTAGAACTGCTTTTGCTGCATCCCATAGGTTTTGGATTGTGGTGTTTTTGTTGTAATTTGTCTCTAGGTAGTTTTCGATTTCCTCCCTGCTTTCTTCAGTGATCTCTTGTTTATTTAGTATCGTGTTGTTTAGCCTCCATGTGTTTGTGTTTTTTACTTTTTTCCCCCTGTAATTGATTTCTAATCTCATAGTGTTGTGGTTGTAAAAAATGCTTGATATGATTTCAGTTTTCTTAAATTTACTGAGGTTTGATTTGTGACCCAAGATGTGATATATCCTGGAGAATGTTCTGTGTGCACTTGAGAAGAAAGTGTAATCTGCTGTTTTTGGATGGAATGTCCTATACATATCAGTTAAATTTATCAGGTCTATTGTGTCATTTAAAGCTTGTGTTTCCTTATGAATTTTCTGTCTGGATGACCTGTCCATCGGTGTAAGTGAGGTGTTAAAGTCCTCCACTGTTATTGCGTTACTGTCGATTTCCTCTCTTAGAGCTGTTAGCAGTTGCCTTATGTATTGAGGTGCTCCTATGTTGGGTGCATATATATTTATAATTATTATATCTTTTTCTTGGATTGATCCCTTGATCATTATGTAGTGTGCTTCCTTGTCTCTTGTTACATTCTTTATTTTAAAGTCTATTTTATCTGATATGATTATTGCTACTCCAGCTTTCATTTGATTTCCATTTGCATGGAATATCTTTTTCTGTCCCCTCACTTTCATTCTGTATGTGTCCCTAGGTCTGAAGTGGGTCTCCTGTAGACAGCATATATATGAGTCTTGTTTTTGTATCCTTTCAGTGAGCCTGTGTCTTTTGGTTGGAGCATTTAATCCATTCACGTTTAAGGTAATTATCGATATGTATGTTCCTGTTACCATTTTCTTAATTGTTCTGGGTTTGTTTTTGTAGGTACTTTTCTTCTCTTGTGTTTCCCACTTAGAGAAGTTCCTTTAGCATGTGTTGTAGAGCTGGTTTGGTGGTGCTGAATTTTCTTAGCTTTTGATTGTCTGTAAAGCTTTTGATTTCTCTGTCAAATCTGAATGAAATCCTTGCCGGGTAGAGTAATCTTGGTTGTAGCTTCTTCCCTTTCTTCACTGTAAATATATCATGCCACTCCCTTCTGGCTTATAGAGTTTCTGCTGAGAAATCAGCTCTTAACCTTATGGGAGTTCCGTTGTCTGGTGCCATTTTTCCCTTGTTGCTTTCAGTAATTTTTCTTTGTCTTTAATTTTTACCAATTTGATTACTATGTGTCTTGGCATGTTTCTTCTTGGATTTATCCTACCTGGGACTCTCTGTGCTCCCTGGACTTGGGTGGCTATTTCTTTTCCCATGTTAGGGAAGTGTTCGACTATAATCTCTTCAGATATTTTCTCGGGTCCTTTCTGTGTCTCTCTTCTCTTTCTGGGACCCCTATAATGCGAATGTTGTTGCGTGTAATATTGTCCCAGAGGTCTCTTAGGCTTTCTGCATTTCTTTTCATCCTTTTTTCTTTAATCTGTTCCGTGACAGTGAATTCTACCATTCTGTCTTCCAGGTCACTTATCTGTTTCTGCCTCAGTCTCTCTTCTCTTTCTGGGACCCCTATAATGCGAATGTTGTTGCGTGTAATATTGTCCCAGAGGTCTCTTAGGCTTTCTGCATTTCTTTTCATCCTTTTTTCTTTAATCTGTTCCGTGACAGTGAATTCTACCATTCTGTCTTCCAGGTCACTTATCTGTTCTTCTGCCTCAGTTATTCTGCTATTGATTCCTTCTATTGTAGTTTTCATTTCAGTTATTGTGTTGTTCATCTCTGTTTGATTGTTCTTTAATTCTTCTAGATCTTTGTTAAACATTTCTTGCATCTTCTTGATCTTTGCCTCCATTCTTTTTCTGAGGTCCTGGATCATCTTCACTATCATTATTCTGAATTCTTTTTCTGGAAGGTTGCTTATCTCCACTTCATTTAGTTGTTTTTCTGGGGTTTTATCTTGTTCCTTCATCTGGTACAAAGTACTCTGCCTTTTCATCTTGTCTGTCTTTCTGTGAATGTGGTTTTCCTTCCACAGGGTCAGAATTGTAGTTCTTCTTGCTTCTGCTGTCCCCCCTTTGAAAATTATCTTTTAAAGAGTAATGCTGTTTGGGGCCAGTGATATTCATTGAGTACCTTGGAAAGTGTCCCTGAGGTTATTTGTTAGAGTGCAGTGAAGCCTTTATGTTTTGATGTGGAGTCACTTGGCTTGAGGGCTGTGCCACTCTCTGCTGCTTGGTCTTGGAAACATACACAGGTAGTTTGCTACCTTGTCTCCTGGCCACTCTCCTTTTCTAGAGGCGAATTAAACTTGACCATTCTTTGCTGGAGAACACTTAAAGAGGTTGACTTTACTGTGGGGCTGGGAAAGACCTCTTTTTTAAAGGTTGAATATTTTGTATCTATTCATTTTTGTTATAGAAGCTAGGAACAGTTACCAGCCTCGTTCCGAAAAATCCTCTATTCTCATTAAATATTAAGTATCTTTGATATGAATTCATGTCTGTGAGGCTATAGAACGTAGCATTTTAGAGCTAGAAAGTAACTCAGAGGCCAAACAACTCTCTTCAATTTGCAAATGAGTAGATTAAAGGCCAAACCCAACGTAATGAATGATAAAGTGAAAATTTGCTTCTGATATAATGTTCTTTACTCCATATTGCCTTTTCTATTTACCCTTACCTCCTTTATTTTATTTCACCGACCTATGTAAAGTTGCATGATGTGTCCATGCTGCCTTTACGGTGGTAAGCAAGGTACATCAGGTCATCACGTTTGCTCTTTGGGAGTTGTAAATGCTGATATTACCCAGGAAACATGACCAGTATGGACCCTGGTAGATTTTGAAACCATGTTGACTTCAGTGCGACTTCTTCCCTTTTTATTTATTTGTAGAAACAAGAGAACAGGTCAGATAATATTTTGTGTGGATTCTCTGCTTCCACATGTACTTTATAGTTGATTTACAGTTGGCCCTTGAACAATGGGGGCTTAGGTGCCCTGACCCTCTGTGCAGTCAAAAATCCGAGTATAACATGTAGTAAGCTCTCCGTATTTGCAGTTTCTCTCTAGCCATGGTTTCACATATGTGAATTCAATCCTATAGTACTGTAGTATTTACGAGTGAAAAAAATCCATGTATAAGTGGACTTGTGCAGTTCAAACCCATGTTGTTCAAGGGTCAACTGTACTTTTAAAAATATGTGATAGTTATTTTCTGAGCTGCATGCACACTTTTAAAAATCTTATATAACTGGATGAAAAAATTATTTTGAAATAATAATAGATTCATAGGTGTTGCAAAACAAAATGTACCATGGGCCAGTTATTCGCAGTGATAACATTTTCTGTAATTGCCATCCAACATCAAAACCGGGAAATTGACACTGTTGCAATGCATAGAGCTTATGCAGATTTCACCAGCTTTATGTGTATACTCATTTGTGTGTTGAGTGTTTGTTTGTCTGTGTGTACTTCTATGCAGTTTTATCTCATGAGTCTCAATCTTATTGCCGCGATAGTCAAAATACAGAACTGTTCCATCAACACAGTGTTCCCTCATGCTACTCCTTAACAGTCACACCTTCCACATGTACAATTTCTGAAAGACTAATGTATAGATAGTAGTTTGTTCAAATGAAATGATAATTTAGGATAACTATTACAAATCAAAGCACTTAATAACCTCTTGATATAAATTTGTGATTTCACAAAACAACCTTACCCTTACAAAGTGCAAACATGTCCAGCATATGTAAGCTGTGGATTTTTAACAAAAGTGTCCCATCTGTAGGGGAGGAAAAATAATTTTCCCTTTACCCTTCTAGGTTCTTTGGCTGGTATAATAATTAAATTGACATAAAACAGATTAACAGGAGAAAAACAAGTTTAATTTTGTATGTATGGGAACCCCATAAAAATATGAGACTCAAAGACAGGCAGTTGAGGCTTATCTACCATCCTGAACTAAGGCAAGGAATAGGGGCTTAGGGCTTCAAAGGGGAGGAACACAGTTCACAGGAAGATGAGAAGAGTATATGTATGGTAAACAAATGTTTGCCCTGCCGTGCAGAGAAGTCTTTCAGATATAGAAAGTTTTCTTTGGTAACAGCTCTCTATCTGGTACAGACCTCCTTTTTAAATTTTTAAGTGCAATTTAGGGGAAGGTTAAAAGCTTTTCCTGAGTCTGTTGGCTTTTGATTGCCATCAGCTCAGAATAATACTTGTGCCAAAGAGGCATATTTTGGAGTGGCATATTCTTCTCCCCTTCACATCCTGTTATATTTTTCAGCTTGAGGTAAGCTAAGCACATTGACTTTGTAGGGTATTTAGTCACCTAACTGGCACATTTTCTGTGGATACTTAATCTAATGGCAATATTATTAGGGAAATTTAAAATATCTTATTCAGATTAAAATTTTTAGAAATGTTAGGAATATTGGAAATATTAGGAATATAAGAATATTAAGAATATAAAAAATAACCAGTTGGATGAAATATAATTTGAGTCATTGGGTCCCTGAAATTTTTATTCTAATTTAGTTCATATGATACATGTAGTAATTTAAAGAAAAAACTGCTTTAGAATTTACATTAAAATGATTTAGAACTGAAGGGATCTCAGATTACCTAATATAAAATCCTTATTTTAGAGGTGACAGAAAGGAGGCCTAAGGAAAAGAGATTTAAATGGGGGTCATAATTGAGATGGAACTGACTAGAGCCAAGACCTCCTGCAGTCTGGTCTGGTTCACTTTTTGTTATTTAATTACCATTATTTTAATGGGAGCATTGATATATGTTTATAGCAAGATATTTTTCCTTTTATGTTAGCTGTAAAAATCTGAAAAGTTTTTCACTTTTCTCCTCTTAAACTGAGCCTGTAATAGTTTAGTTATCTTCTGCTCCATTGGACATTTTTCCTTATTCTCTGTTGAAACTCTAGCTTGAACAGGAATTGGAGCTATCTCGAAGGTTATTGAATCAGTCAGAAGGCAGCAAAGAAACACTTTTGCATCAGGTAAGTCTATGCAAGCTATGATAATCTGCTTTAAATTAAATCAGGATTGAGTCTCTTTCCC